ATTTTGATTAAATAGAGAAATTCGATCTTTTGAATTTCGAATCACTGAAAATTCAGATTCATCATTTTTAGAGAATATTCATGAGTCTTAAGGCGAGGTAGATCAAAAATTGAGATGCTAAATTTTTTCCACAGTGTACACTTGTGAAAATTTATTGCATTCGTCACAAAGTCTCTTTCAAGAAATTAATAAAGTTTAGGTAACGTATTTTCTTTCAGTGGCATAGAAGAATATTATTAATTAAAAAGTTTTACATATTCAATACACTTTTAAATGAGAATATTTCTAAAGAGTTTTCTTTTCACTTTCATGGAACAATGTGATTTTTAAATTAGAAAAGGTTTTCTAAGGCTTAATTACATAATTTTATGCTTTCCTCCAAGAAAAAAAATTTTTTTTTAGAGATTTTTTTCTAGAGATTCATTGAAAATATCGTATCGTATAAAGTGAAATTGGAGTTTGTAGCAATCTGAAAAATTGAAAGAATAGAAAAGCAGAGAACAGTTAGAGTTAGTAACTTAGCGAAATGCTTTTAAGCGAATGATCTCATGGAATTTATCGCACGTATGAGAGTTTCTGAGTTAGATCCACTTGCACACACTGCAGCTGTAAAACAATGGAAGGAGATGCTTTATTGCTATTTTACAACCACATAGCTTCTGTCAAATATGACCCAGGAAAGTCATACCGTTATTCGGTTGGAATTGAATCTTATTCCCCTCTTTCTTGAATTACACTTTGGCACCCACTGAAACGTCTTAAAGTGACAGTTACTGGGATTAGTTCTGCTCGTGAAAAGCATCTCACACCAAAAATTTCTATATTATCATTGGACGTTGTGTTTACTCATTTATGGAATAAATAACGAATGAAAAATAACCTTTCTAATTAGATCGTGAAATGTAAAAATATGAAAGTTTTCAAAGGCATTTTTTACAAGTTTCTTTTAAATACTCTTTTATATATTTAGGTAAAACGTATTTGCTCAATTTTAATTATTATTAAAATTGTTGGAATAATAAAATTTGGTGTAGGTATTTCAAATATCTCTGGAAACGTAAACAACTTTTTTTGTTTTTAGAAAAAAGTGACTTCAAGTACGCAGTTGCGTAATTCCATGATGTATTTTAAATTATATTTTTTATGGCAATGTCGAGTCATGCACCACCTGAGTTGAGTGTGCATCGTTAATGCTACTAACGTGTTACGGACCAGAGCACACATATGCATTTACCACGTTACCTCATAGAAAATAAACCCCGCAACAAGCTTGGGGACTTTTGCGATCAGGAAAGTTTAATTAATCACGAGCTTCTACTTTAAAGAGTTGTTGAATAGAATAGCAAGTAGGGGAGGGGGGCCAAAAGTTGAAAGTAATCAGGGCTCGTATTTCTTTTCAGAATAGAACTTATATACCCTATTTTTATATACATACATTCTTTTTTGTTTCAATACTCTTTTTTTCATTATATTTTTTTTAAAACCCTCAATAAAGGAATATTTTCTCTAATTTAAAGTACTTTAGTAAAAGTAATGTTTTTGAATTTTCTACTACTAAAATTGACTTTTACTACTGGTAAATGACGAGACCTTCAGAAAAGTTGTGTTTTTAATAAAATTAATTGTTAGAAAATTATTAGTAGATGGTAAATTGTATACTTTAATATTGGCTGTAATGTGAACTACCATTAGAGATCAATATAAATTGTACACTAAATGAACTTTATGCTAAGAATACTTATGGTATTATGGCGTAAAAATTCAACCATATTTTGTTGCATTTTGCGAGAAGATAAATTTTTAATTAAAATGGTTGAAGCTGGCAAGCTTATATTAACCACTTAAAGTGCGAGGCCGTCGAAGCTAATTTCAGTCGTTTATAAAATGTACATTAAGAATATTTCGAGCTTTAAAATATTAATTAACTTTTATTAGCTTCATCCTCTTATGTTGAATTTTATAAAAGGCTTTTGTTTTTTTTATTGTTTAGCTTGCTTTTGTTCTAGTCAGATATCTTTAGTCAAGAGTTTTATGTTCATTTTTTAATTTTTATTATCACTCACAACTTTGATGAAAACAAGGAAACTTGAAATTATTGTAAAATTCTTGAATCGTTAAAATAGTTTTTTTTTAGATATAAATTCATTAAGTATAATCATTTTAATGAATTGAATTTAGATATAGGAAACAAGAAAGGATAAATTTCCACTGTGAAACTTATGAGTGACTGCACAAATTGTTACTGTCAAGTTTTACTTAGTTGTTTTGAACTTTGTGAATCACTTTACTTTGCATATCAGCAGCTTTCGCAGCTCCCGTTCATGCCTTCAAAGACTAGACAGTGTTTTCATTTATCTTTCAAAATTCACGTCGATATTCTTACATTTTTTTTCAAGTTAAAAGTAGAATACATAATTACGAAATAAATTAGCATTTCTAGTCAATTGAAATTCAAATTAAATGAAAAATTTGTTTTCACTGTATTAATTTTTTAAACTTTCATTCTGATTTATTTAGTTTTTTTTAAGGTTTTTGTTATTTTTTAATGTTTTTATATTAAAATGATAAAAAATAATAAAATTGTAGATAAAGTTTTGTCCCGTCTTGGAAAAAATTGCTGTCTCTTTGCAAATAATCAAAATTCAAAGTAAGGTAGAAATTATTAAAAATACAAAAAATATTGTGTTACAAATTACCAAGTATTTAAATTTTCCTGGAAAAAGAAAATATAAATTATGACGTTAAAATAGTGAGCTATTATGAAAAAGAGAGTTATTTTCAATTGAATTTCATAACAATAGGAAAGATAGTTAAAAAAAATTGAGTATGGTAAATGTATACAAGTAATTTCCTGCTTTAGTGTATAGGTGGATATTTACAAAGTAAATTCTTTAACTTTCAGACACCAATGGTATTTGTATATGAGGTTTGCATAAAATTACGTTGGCAGTTTGAATACTTTTCCAGAGAGTATGAATACGCATATAATTAGAGAATTTAAAATATGCATGTATACATACGAAGAAAAGAAATAACGAGTGTGTTGGAACTGTAACCACACCCCAAGCTTCCAAGTGCGTGTACTAAAGTACTACACTCAGTGGTGCGTTTTAATTATAGCTGGTCGGTTGCGCTTTGTGCTGTTATGTCCTTAAGTATGCCACGTCATTAGGGCCGAGATTATTTCTACTAAATATTTTAATTACAAATGTAACTCACTTTTTCCCTTATAAAAAATATTTTCAAATTTTATAGAAATTCTATTATAAAATAGAAGAAAAAGTTATATTTGTTTTTTACTTTGTTGATTTATTTAAAAAAAATTTTTTAAGAAACATAATCTTGAGAACTTTCTTTTAAAAACATAAGCTTAAGGTCGGGTCATCCAGCTTGCGTAAGTCACACTGTGGCGAATTTTTAAAAACAAGCTTAAGAAGCTTTTTCCCTATTTTCTTGGAGGTAATTTTTTATAAATTACGAGTATATTTAAATTAGAGTAGCGGTTTTTACATTCTGAAAGACTTATCTTTTTTTATTAACGCTATATACGCTCTTTAATTTTAACTCAGCTGTCGTTAAATCAAGAAAAAATGTAGTCTTTTATCCTTTTTTTATCCTCACGCATTCCTTTTGCAAAATGTAAATAAATTCATATACATTTTTATGACTTTGTAAATAGGAAATTAAAAATTTATATGTTGATACTTTCATGCTTTTTGGTAATTTAACATTTAAATTATTTAAAAATATTCCACGAACATTTTCATTAGATAAATTTGTATCGAATTTTTATTTTCCAACAATTAGGTATTTGCAATTTTCTGTTAATAATTAGATTATTAGAGAGATATTCATAAATTTTCTTCAATAATTTCCAATTAAGTATTTACAATATATTGTATTCCAATCAATGTTTATTAATTGCTTCAAATTAATAAATTTTATGGAATTTAATCTTTATCCATTTTATAGATCGTTTTGTCAATTGTAATATATTTTTAAAACAAGTGCATGATTGACCTAAGGAGGGTGAAGGTAGGATTATATCTTTCTTGAGTTGGTAACTATGTATAAAATTAACGTTTGACAGAAAGTTTTCCAAATTCCTCGCATATGAATTATGAACTGAATAATTTAGAGTCACAAATTAATCAAAATTCTTTGAAACGTATACTTTTAGGAATTTCATTAGCCTGATATTTAGATAATTTTCACTTGAAGGATGCAAACTTTAAAATTTATGACGAGCAGTTTAGCCGGAATGCAACAAAGCTAGTGTCTGACTAAAAGTACTTGCAGTTTCCGACAACAATTTCAACATAAAGGAATTACGTATAGCATTGCATTGTTTCTAAGTTCATTTACGTGAAATTAAGAGATGTTATATGTATATATACATATATATGTATATTACTAGGCTACTTACTCACATTTTCAATGAAACTGAGATTAGGTCATTTGTTAAGTGAAGTTTGATTACTTCCCTTTTGAGGAATCATGCAATCGTATTTCACTTGACGTAGATTAACTTTTCACACACACTTACTTGCTTGAAAACTACATTAATCATATTAAAATTTTCTAACTATTATAAAATGTGTATTATTATAAATATAATTTTATTTACACCAAGAAAAACAGTATTCTATATGCAAGAATAAAATATTTGCTTCAATTTAAAAAATTTAATGCACATTTTATTCTTGCAGATATAATATTATAATTTAATTTAATACATAAATTTATTAAATCTGATTTAACTTTTTTTCTTGTAACTGTAAGAATAAATTATATTCTTCTAAAGGGGCCAATATTATCTTTTTAAATTTAGATTATCGTTTTCCTAGTTTAGAGAATTGTGTTTAAATTTTAAACATAGAAAACTTGCTTGATTTTGCGCTCAATTAGGACATTATTGTTAAATGAGTAAAAATACATCTAGTTTTATGAATTAATGGGCTCAATGAATTTATTGAGAATAGAATATTTTTAGTACTTACTTTGGTTTTTAGATTATAAAATTCATCCTTCCAGTATCCTAAGATAATCTGAAACAAAAATATATTATTTCTATATATTATTAATTTTATGAGGGACATTTTCGTAAATTATTGAATCTGGATTCTATTAACACTATTTTATAGAGTATTACATATATATATATATATACTTAAATGGATATACGGTATGTTCTATATTCATATAAAAGTGAGAAAGGAATTATCTTTTGCCGTAATTTTGGAATTAAAATGAATAAAGAACGAAGAGTTTAAAAAAGTTATTATCGTGCACTTCTTGTGCCAGATATCTTACTTTTAATAATTCACTTTCCATATTTCATTCGCAGTGCATTAGTTATCTTGTTGCTTTGCTCAAGTCGCATTAAAGCTGCCCGGGTATATACTACGCGCTAGCCTTTATCTCACTGACAGAGAATTGCAGCCATAACGTTTCCTTCTTTCCCTCGACGAAACGGTTTCTCAAACAAAGCTCTACACCGCAGATAAAATCTTTTCATCCTCTTTTGTCCTGCATGTCCTTTTTCCACCGTTTTCTCACTTTGACCGGATAACATATGACGACACGTTGAGTTAAAAAAACAACACGACATTCAAAAATGAACCGTAAAGAATTATGAATAAAAGCAGTTACTTTTTTTTAAAGAATGTAGTTAATTTTACAGGATTATGAGATTTAGTAAATGTGCTGAAAAAAAAGAATTCAATGTACAACTGTGAACTCTTAGAAATTAATATTTTACTTTTTAAAGAATATTATCACTGTATTGAGTGTATTTTCAATTTGTTAAAACTTAAAAGTTTCACTGGATCTCAGAAATAATGAAAATTTGAATACTCTACTCTTTTGGGAATTAAGTCTCTGGCTTTATAGTATGAACAGTTCATTTATATAGAGAAAGGGTTTTCATATTTCAAGTGGAAATATTCATTGGAACTTTCTGAAATAAGAGAAAACGTCGACACTTGGTTATATTGTCGACTAATGAATATTTATTTGAATATAAATAAAATAGCCTAATTAAATGATATATATATACGTATTAGATACCTACATAGACAATAGAGAATGTTGTAACGAAAAAGATCGAAACAAAGAATCTTTTTCTGCTTTAATTTGTTGAAACTACACTCTTTTACTAAGTTTCACAAGACTCTGGCAAAAGACGAGAAGGAAAACGAAAGACAGGCAATATGTCGTAAGAAAAGCTGACAAAGTTAATTTCCTACAACAGTGAACTTTTCTGAGAGTTTGTTTATATCACATCTATATGATACTATAAGTCCCGTGTATTTCAACAAATTAAAAACAATTGAATTGAAATAGAAAATGAAAAAAATATCTCATTTTAATTAAAAGATATTATTATTATTATTATTATTAAAATAAAAATTATAATTTACTGTCTATATTGGATAGAAGAAAATGAGCAAATTATTCAAGAAGAAGAAGAAGAAGAAGAAGGAAAAACGAGAATCTGGAAATTTTAAAAAAAGACTTTGAATGAACTTCTCACATGTAAAATGCAAAAGCTGAAAAAGGATAAAAGTAAGAGGAAAGAATACCAACATGAAAGTCCTTGCAAGAACTATAATAAAATTGAGATCATTGTAAATGGATGTCATGTGAAGTACAGAAATAGAAAAAGAACCAGAACTCTGAATGGAATGCAGTGAAGAATTATGACACACATTACAACACGAGGGCAAAAAAAAGGGAAAAAGTGAATATAAGAGAATGTTTTCGATTTAAGTTACAATAGCGTACTTTCTTTTTTTGTTGGCAAATTTTTTTCACATATATACATTTATAAAAATTTTAATTAAACTAATATCTTACTTTCTATTTGAAATTTTATCTCATATTCAAATTACATAGTAATTTTATTTACAATTAGTTTTGTTTTTTTAGTTAGTAGTAATATTTCGAATTTTACTTCTGGTATCAGTAGGATTATCGAATTATCAGTAGTAATAGCGTCCATTAGCCAGACAAAACAAATCCCTACAATTCCACTATTAGTAGTAAAAGTCACTTTCGGTCAGACAAAACTTGCCGAGTAAATACTTTCTCATAGTGGGAGTTTTGTAATAAATTTATAATTGTATTTTTTACATCGAAATTCATGATTCTCAAATGTTAATATTGATTAAAATTTGAAAAGATATTTTAATGAATAAATTCGCAATTAAAATTGTCGTGCACAACACTGCCAAGTGTCAAACTGATGATTGGTAGTGATGGAATTGTGTTTGCTCAAAGTTTTAAGGACAGTAATGGAGCTGATATTGGGGGACCTTTAATGGAATCTCAACTAAATTGGAACACATAAAGGACATCGGAGCCAACGTTATATGGCTTTCATCTATTTACACAAGACCCTTGCTTCCAGACATCGTGTACTACATTACCGATTTCTCAGAAGTGGATCTTCAATAAGACACTCTCGTTGAATTTAGAGTACTTGCTCCTAAAAAGGTCCTTATTCAATAACCATGATGATAAAAAGTGCAACCAACGGCAATTAAATGCCACTTTCATACTTTAGCAAAGAAAAGAACTGTTCTCAAAGCTTTAGCTCTTTTGTGTTATCTATATAGTAAAATACAATTTTCATTTTTCTTTCTCAAAGTTTTTAAAAATGGAAATATAAAGTACTTCGGATAAGAAATTTTTATTTTCTTTTAAATTTTTAATGGAAAATGTTGAAATGTTGAATTTTATATTTCAAATTTTTTATTTATTTAATTTTAATCATAAACGTGTCAAGCACAAGAAGACAAATTTATTTGAAAACTTGCATTTTAATAATAAATTTCATTATTTTAAACTTAATATTACATAATGAATTTATATACTCTAATAGAATAATGTAAAAAAAGAGACACAAAGGAGCACTTTCAGTTGAGTTATTTTTGAACTTGGAAAGAAATGTTTTTTTTTCATTAAAAATAATTTTTAATGTATTTTCTTGAAGAAGTGTGGAATCTTTTATGTTTGGCAAAATTCCAGATGGATCTAAAAAAAAGTTTCTAATAACTGAATAAGTACATTCACGAGCACACAGCTCGTGAATAAAAAGCCTCAGAGGGATGCAATGCTTCCTTTAAGAATCTTTTCTTAAATTTTCGGAGGAAAGCATTATTCTTTTTTTTTTGTTGCAAAAAAAGTGTAATTGATGCATTCAATTAAAAAGGAAAGATATATATATATAATTCTAAAAGAGAAAATATATATTGTTGAATGGATTTTCAAGAGTTTCTCTCGTCATATTATTTTAATTTTTCGTATTCTCTGTGAGAGCACATTCCTTGATTTGTCATTGGGAAAAAAAGAAGGAAAAACTTTTACAAACTTAAACAAAAGACATTGAATAATGAAATAGTATTGTACAATCGTCGTTAATGTAATCCTCATTTTTTTTATCTCGAGATTGAAATTCTGAGAGATAGTATTCCTTTGATATTTTCCCCCACTATCTCTGACGTAATACATTGTTCCGGCGATTTTTATTATTCCGAGGAAACTTTGATATTATGTCATTCCCAGTAGATGAGATAATTTAATTGTTTTAAAAATTATTCACTATCTTCTACTTTAATATAGCACTTTTATATTCTTTTTTGATAAATTGTCATTAAAAGAATATAATATAAATTTCTCGAGATATGAAACTTAATATAAGATCGAGATTTAATGACAGTTAGACAATTTCGCGAATAATGTTCAAGTTAAGTTTGTTTATTATAGCACTAGTCACGACTGGTGTCTATTCAGTCAACAATGACTGGTGGAAGGACGCAATTATTTATCAAATTTATCCCCGAAGTTTCAAAGACAGCAACGGAGATGGAATTGGAGATTTGAATGGAATCACCATGAAGATGGAGCACATAAAGGATATTGGAGTTGATGCTTTATGGCTTTCACCAATTTACACAAGCCCTCAAGTGGATTTTGGATACGATATCGCCAACTTTACGAATGTCGACCCCGCTTATGGTACTTTAGCCGATTTTGATAAGCTCGTGGCTAAAGCAAAGAGTCTCGGTTTAAAGGTGATTTTAGACTATGTACCTAATCACAGTTCTCACAAACATCCATGGTTCCAAAAGAGTATACAAAAGATCAAGCCCTATGATAACTTTTACATTTGGCGTGATGCCAAAATAGTGAATGGTATGAGAAAACCGCCAAACAATTGGTTGAGCACATTTAAGGGATCGGCTTGGGAGTGGAATGCACAACGTGGTCAGTATTATCTTCATCAATTTGCGACTGGTCAACCGGATTTAAATTATCGTAGCAAAGAATTAGATCAAGCGATGAAGGATGTTTTTATATTCTGGATGAATCGTGGCGTTGATGGTTTTCGTATTGACGCAATTAATGTTCTTATGGAAGATTTGCGTATGCCTGATGAGCCAAGGAGTTATAATCCGAACGCTGCAGCTGACGAATATGAATATTTGAATCATATATATACTAGAGATCAAAATGATACCTATGATGTTGTGAAAGCATGGAGGAAATTATTAGACGATTATGCATTAAAACATAAAACGGATTCTAAGTTTATGATAACTGAAGCCTACACGAATGTTCCTTTGACTCTCAAGTACTATTCAGCCGGGTCAAATCCATTCAATTTCATGTTCATTTCCGGCTTAAATGGAGCATCAACGGCAGTTGATTTCAAGCGAGCGATTGATACTTGGACGAATAATTTGCCAAAGGGAAATGTTTCTAATTGGGTGACTGGTAACCACGACAATCATCGAGCGGCGTCAAGATTTGGTGTGAAGAAGACCGACATGATTACCATGTTAGCGGCGGTACTGCCCGGAATCACAGTCGTTTATAATGGCGACGAAATTGGAATGATAGATAGAAATTTCACATGGGAAGAAACGAAAGATGTTTTTGGTTGTAATGCTGGACCATTGAGATATCATTTGTTTTCTCGAGATCCAGAACGAACGCCATTCCAGTGGGATGATACGACAAGTGCTGGATTTTCAAGTAGTAAAAATACTTGGCTTCCTATACATGAGAATTATAAAATTCTTAATTTGGATCTTCAAAAGAAGGCACCATTGTCACACTATAAAGTATTCAAGGCATTGACAACTTTAAAGAGAAATGTTTTGAATATCAGGAAATCGACTATGGAAACTGTGTTAATTACAAAAGATATTTTAGCAGTAATTCGAAGATTGGATAAGAAATTACCAATTGTGCTCTTAATTAATACGTCGGATAGAGATGCTGTAGTTGATGCTAGTAGTTGGTTAAATATTCCTAGACAAATGTATGCATACATTGCAAGTGTCGATTCAAAAATTGTTTCCGGCACTCGTATTGATACAAAATTATTGCGAATACCTGGATCAGCATCATTGATTCTTACAACGTCAGCACAACTTTTTGAATTGTTTAGATATTTGAATTTTTAATATAGTTATTTGTAATAATTTTGTGTATTAGTAAATTTACATTTAAACAACATGGAAAAAATTGAATTGGTAAAATATGATATAAATTTTGTAGCATATAAGTTTGAATAAACACATTTTTTTGGAAAAAAGTTTATTAAGTCTCCAATTATTAAACCCTTACATTTAAAATTATACATAATAAATACTTAAATAATATAATAATTAATACAGTACTGTAAAGAGGCAGAGTAAATTGATTTTCAATTAAAGATTTTTCTTATTGATTAATAATTATCTTTTACTCATGCTCTCATTAATTAAAGTTCTCTTTGTAATCTCTTTGTTTTTAGATAAAATGTGAAAATTAAAAAATTTTCAATTATATTATCTAATAAGCTCTAAATTAAACAATTTATTATTTCCTACAATAAACTAACTTTTGACATCAAATTAAGTTAATTTTAAAGTTAATTAAAATTAAATTGAATTGCTAATTAAAATTCATTGAATCGTAAAAGATTAAAACTGTCCAATTCCTATTTTATATTTTAATATTAGTATTTGAATATTAAAGTAATTTAAAATTAAATTTATTTATTGACAGAACGCTCTATTCACGCTACTAAATAGTGAAATGAAAATTTTTTATATTTAGAATTTCAAAATTAAAAAACTTTTAGTTTTCCATATTATACTGCTACAACTAAATATACTTCTATTGTTAAAATGTTAAAACAGAGATTATAGAATAATATTCAAAAAATTATTTCACCAACAGTACACAATGATTTTTGATAAAACCGGAATTTCATTTTAAAAAAGTAAAAAAGAGAAAGAATTTAGAAGATAATTTTTTAGGTAGTTGCTTTTTACGCGGTAGAAAAACCACGACACAGCATTGTGGTTATGCGAGGTGTGTTTAAATTCCTCTCATTTTTATCGAGCTGTGTTGGCTCATGTAAAAGAGGCAATAAATATTAAAGATATTCCACTTTTGAAAAAAATAACATTTTTCACATTTTTAAAAAGCTGCAAATTTTAATATGTTTCTCATTCAAATTATTGCCTTGATCGTAGAAAGCAATAAAAAAAATTCATGAATTTTGATGTTGCCACTTTGACAAAAATAACCATATAAATAATCCATAGAAAAATAATTCATTTTTTTTATTAGTGTTATTAAAAAAAAAGTGAATATGAATTTTTCAATCTTATTTTAAATTTATTGCAACCTTTAAAACAATAATGAAACTAAAACATTAATTTTTACAATAATGTATGAAAATTATATTCTTTGGTTTGAACAAATAAAAAAAAATAAACACTAATTTATCAAAAAACGATAAAACATTAATAATAGTATATTTATTTTTAATTATACATTTTGTTCAGAGATAGTGTGATCATTATCTTTATAAAAAGAACTTAAAGTATAATAAATAATAAAATTTTTATTTATTATTGCTATATAATTAACAGTTAATTTTTGTTATAAAATATTAAAATTGAATTAATATACACTCTAAATGTAAATTATTAAAATTTCTAATTTGTATTTGTAACTGACTTTTTGCTATGAATTAGTAAAAAAAAATTTTTATTAGTCAGTTGATTATAATCAATTCATAGCAAGTCACTTAATAATTGAAATTAATTGAAATTTTACCCAATTTAGATTTAGAGTGTAAAAAAATTAAAAATTTCTAAAATATAATATAATTAACAATAACAAGAATAAATATGATTAAGGGAGCATTTGCAAATGAGGAATATGTAGCTAGAGATGGCTCAGGTTTAAGGGAATCAATTTGTGATTTTGATGCTAGAAATAGAGAAGCTGAAGCCGGAATTTTCAAGGCACTGGTATTAACTTTTGTATTTGGTTGAATTTGTGAATCAACGCTGGCTATATACGTAATAAGTTCCTCGGGAATATTCAACCAAGTGTGAGCATCAACACTTTCATCCTTTATTCCCATGTTAATTAAAAGTGCCACTGGCGATGAGTCCTCCATTCTTCTAACTATTCCTAAAATGTTCTCCGTGATTAAACGAACTTCCACTGTTCCTAACTGAAGAATAGGAAGATTTTTCTTCATCATTGTCATCGCTTTGAATACCTTATAATGTGAAATTGTTGCAAGTTTTTGATTTGCCAAATTAAGAGTTTTATAATTCTCATGAACTGGAAGCCATGTTGTTTTGTTTGTTGAAAATCCAGCACTCGTCGTATCATCCCATTGAAACGGAGTTCTCTCGGGATCCCTTGAACCCAAATGATATCTGTTTGGTCCAAGATTACATCCTGCCACATCAACAGTTTCTTCCCAAGTTAAATTTTTATCCAACATTCCAATCTCATCACCATAGTAAACTACACTGATACCCGGCAAAGTCAGAGCTAACATTGTAATCATGTCAGATTTTTTCTCACCAAATTTTGAACCTGCACGATGATTATCATGATTGTCGGTGACCCAATTTGATACATTTCCTTCTGGTACATTATCAAGCCATTTATCGATTGCAAGTTTAAAGTCAACAGCCGTTGATGTCGAATTGAAGTCATTGACAAAGATAAAATTGAAAGGATTACAACCTGAGTCAAAATATTGTTTCATTATTGGTGGTGTTAATGCTGCTTCGACTATTAAAAATTTCGAGTCCGTTTTGTACTTGTTCGCATAGTCATCCAAAAGATCTCTCCATTCACGCGCAATAACATAAGTCTCGTTCAAGTCTCTCGTGTAAGTATGATTAAGATAAAGGTACTCATCCTCGGGAACATTAGGAATATTACTTCTCGGTTCATCGCGTAACTGTTCATCCTCGAATAAATGAAGAATTGCATCTACACGAAATCCTTCAACACCACGATCCATCCAAAATGTCAGAACATCACTCATCGTTTTCTTTAAATTATTATTGCGATAATTCAAATCCGGTTGTGCAACGGCAAATTGATGATAATAGTACTGACCTCGTTCTGCATTCCATTCCCATGCTGAACCTTTAAAAATACTCAGCCAATTATTTGGTGGTTTTCTTGTGCCATTTACAACTTTACCATCACGCCAAATGTAAAAATCATCATAAGGTTTGATTCGTTTAATACTATTTTGAAACCATGAATGTTGATCAGAACTGTGATTTGGTACAAAATCCAACAAAACTTTTAAGCCAACTTCCTTTGCTTTATTGACGAGTTTTGTAAAATCTGTCAATGTACCATATTGTGGATCAATATCAGTAAAGTTGGAAATGTCATAACCAAAATCTACTTGTGGACTCGAGTAAATTGGTGAAAGCCATAGAGCATCTGCTCCAATGTCCTTTATGTGTGTCAACTTGCTAGTTATTCCATTAAGGTCTCCGATCCCATCTCCATTACTATCCTTCAAACTTCGTGGATAAACTTGATAAATTATAGCGTCCCTCCACCAATTATTGTTGATTGACTGAACACCAAGTGCGAATGTAATAAATAGAAATGTTAACTTCAACATGATGCACCAACTTCTACTGATAAGTTATTGTCACTGCAAGTGTGTTTATAGTCTTTCATATCGCAATGTGACAATAATAGTAAAAATATGGAAAATTCCTCGCTAATCATTCATTGGATTTACCTTGATAAAGAACTTGAATTTTTTCATTCCTAAGGTGACAATCGATCGATAAGAAACTAGTTTGATAGGTGCATTTTTCTATAGTGTTCAAGTGGCTCTTGTAGGAAGCGATAATTTCATGAAGTAGGTCGTTACGTCATTATACGTTTAGTGGAAATAAATGGCAAAAGTGGTACTTAAGTCAGTTGGTACTTTACAGAAAATTACTTTGAGAAATGGAAATTATATAGTAATTAAATTATATAATGCTTACAACTAGAGAAGGGATGGACAAATTTATAAAAGTTTTTTTTATTTCCTTTTTTAATTTAAAATGTACTAGAAAAAATTATGCGCCTGACTATTTTTTTTAAATCATATATGTTTTAATTACTTTGATAAACTTTTAAATTATAATGGACATAATTATAAGATTATTTATTAATTGATTTATTAATAGAAACTTTAACGAAAAATTATTCAATAATTATTATAGTTCTTAATTTCTAATCAATCAGCTGTAAGGGATTATCCAACACATTCAAATTGCATTTAAATTATAGAAAATAGTTGGGGTTCTGGAGAAGGGCCAAGCTTTTATAGACCGAGAAAATGCATGATTTCGGTCTCTTAATCTTTTGGCAACTATATCTTTAAACCGACAAAAAGTCAAATGATAATACTCTTCTCGAATTTTAAATAAGGAAAAATAAATTCAAGGTGTTTTATAAATTATATATATATATATATATCGCCAAATTAAATGTAATTTTTACAAATTAAATCCTCTCTTACTTTTATTTACATTTTTATTAAAATTTCTAATAATTGTTTTTATGTATTTCAGGTAAGTCACTTTTGAGATACCATCTTCAACTGTTCGGTAAGACATTTAAATTTTTTTAGCTTTTTATTTTGAAACATAATTTAAATTAAAACCACTTTTAAAAAAATTCTCGTTCAATCTGTTTTGAAATTAAAAAACAATTGGTCATCGAATTTGGACTACTATAAAAAAGAAAACTTATTTTTTCTTAAAAGATTAAAGGTAATATTGCAAACATTTATATATTTATTTTGCAATCTTTAATTCTTTTACAATTTCTGGTGTTACATTTTCAATTTCAAATAGTTATGTATATTTAGTATAACGATATGATAAATTATTATAAATGAATATTCTATTTAACTAAAATTGATACTATTACCTTTATGAGATATTAATAATTAATTTTATTCATTACAATTAAATAGAGAAAAATCTTTACAAATCGGTTAATAATTCATTCATTTGATTTTGAGATACAAGAATCATTGACGCTGATCCAGGTATTTTCAATGCGTTCGATTGAACTTGTGTACCAAAAGGAATTCCCGAATTTACACTAGTCGCATAAGCGGACATTTGAAGTGGAATATTTAACCAACCCATTGCATTAACTTCAACTTCTCTGTCGGAGGTATTGATTACAAGTGCCACTGGAGAAGTTCCCTGTAGCCTTCGAACAATGCCAAGAACCTCTGAAGTAATTAAAGTGACTTCAGTTTTTCCTTTTTTCATATTGAGCGATTTCTTCTTTAATGTTGTCAAAGCCTTAAAAACCTTGTAGTGCGAGGTCGATTCAACTTTCTGTGCTGCCAAATTAAGAGTTTTATAATTATCATTAACTGGAAGCCATGTTTTTTGATTAGTTGAAAATCCAGCACTCGTCGTATCATCCCATTGAAATGGCGTTCTCTCAGGATCTCTTGATCCCAAATGATATTTTTGCTGTCCCAAATTACAACCTGCCACATCAATAGTTTCTTCCCATGTGAAATTTCTATCAATCATTCCAATTTCGTCGCCATTATAAACGACTGTGATTCCAGGCAAAACCGTAGCTAACATTGATACCATATCTGCCTTCTTAACACCATACCTTGATGCTATTCTGTGATTATCGTGATTACCAATTACCCAATTGGAAACATTTCCCTTCGGTAGATTATTCAACCATGTATCAATGGTTCGTTTGAAATGCATGGCTGTTGATTCACCATTCAAATCAGTGATAAACATGAAATTAAATGGATTGGATCCGGCAGAAAAATATTTCATTGCTAAAGGAAGTGTTGTGTAGGCTTCAGTTATTAGAAATTTACCATCTGTATTGTGTTTTATTGCAAAATCGTCCAACAAATTTCTCCAGCTTCGTAATACTCCATAGGATTCATCTTGATCTTTTGTGTAAATATGTATCAGTGAATTGTAATCATCAGAGCTGGCTGATGGATCATGACTTAGTGGTTCGTCTCGCATTAAAACATCTTCGATTACATGATTAATAACGTCAATTCGAAAACCATCGACACCGCGAGTCATCCAAAATGTGAGTACATCTTTCATTGCTTGATTTAAGTATGAGGAACGATAATTTAAATCCGGTTGACCAATAGCGAATTGATGAAGATAATACTGTCCACGTTGTGCATTCCATTCCCAAGCTGAACCTTTAAATGTGCTCAACCAATTGTTTGGCGGTTTTCTCACACCATTGACAATTTTAGCGTCACGCCAAATGTAATATTCATCGAATGGTTTCACTTTGTTAACACTATTTTTAAACCATTGATGTTCATTTGAACTGTGATTTGGTACAAAGTCTAAAATCACCTTTAAACCAAGACTCTTTGCTTTAGCCACGAGTTTATCGAAATCATCCAATGTACCATAACCTGGATCGACATTAGTGTAATTGGCAATATCATACCCAAAATCTGCCTGTGGACTGGTGTAGATTGGCGAAAGCCATAATGCATCAGCTCCAATGTCCTTTATATGTTCCAGTTTGCTGGTAATACCATTTAAATCACCAATTCCATCACCATTACTGTCTTTGAAACTTCGCGGATAAATTTGATAGATAACTGCATCTTTCCACCAGTCATTGTTGATAGACTGTACGTCTATCGTAAAAACAGCGATGTACAACAACAATGTGAATTTAAACATTTTCCTCGACTGCAAACGAGTTTTCAAAAAGTCTCGGAGTTTATAGTATAGAAATTCTAGAAGAAAAAAAAATGTTGCCATATCGCGTTATGACGCGATATGTGATTAATAAAAAAAAAAAACTGCACTTGATAATGTGGATATTGATAAGACCTTGACAGTAACCACTTTAACTGATAAAAATGAAATTGTTTTCCTGCGGTGATTACTAATCTACAAACAAAAATATGTTCTAGCTCATCAGATTTTAGAGAAAATTAATATGAACAAGACGAAAAAGTGAATTTTTGACAGTGCGATTAAAATTTTAAAAACCAATAGTTAATAGTCTATTTTTTTGGTTTACCACAAAAGGGAATATTTCACAGAATGTGATGAGTAAAATTTTGACTATAAAAATTGATTCTCGTAAATTTTCCCCATTTTCCAATTTTCGTCACTATTTTTTAACAGTTTGATACTTTTTTTATGTCCATTAAAGTCAGTCACGTGAAAGGTGTATATGTCAAACATTTTTATCACCCCTTTTTACGTAAATTCGATTATTTGTTACGTATGTTATTAAATTTATTAAATTTTATTTAACATCTAAAAAACATGTTCTTAAATATATATATATATATATTATTTAAAAAAAGCATATATTTCATCACTGATAATAATTTTTTAAACACTGTTCTATTTTTGCAATATTTAGATAAGATTAAAACTTGCATAAAATCGTATAATAAAAAGATTAAAATTTTATATAATTTTTCAATTAATATTAAATGATAAAATTTACTTTTTATCAATTTAAATGCACTTTGGTAAACATAATTGCAAGAAATTAATATTTTCAAGCAAATAATAAATTCATTAAGATACCCATGAAAGTTTGATGAAAACATGTGCTTTAAACTTAAGAAAATTATATTAAGAACACATTAAAAGTTTTATCTGATATTGTTTGTAATTAAAGAAATTAATAACTTATTGAGTGTGAATAATTAAAATGTAAAACGAAACTTTCCAAAGTGAATAATTGCTTATATAAAGTAATAACCATAAGAGTAGATTTGAGTTTATTAATCTGTCTTTATAAATTTTAAATAGAGTTTCTTTTCAATTTTTATCAATTTTAATTAAAATTATATTTGAAATTATAATCTAATTTCATTTGTAATTAACCAAAAATTTGTAATGTTACCATTACAAAATGGCTACCTAACTTTGTTTATTCATATATAATTCTATAACTTTCTTGCCTTATTGTTGTGATACAAATCTCTTACTTCATTTCTGTGACCCAGTTTACATTATTATCAACACGATAAGCTTTAATTGTACTGGAATATTTGATTTTTATATTTTACTTGAAATTTCAATTTAAAGTCTCTTAAGAGAATTTTTCAAAAATGGGACAATTTAATAATTAATTATTAAATTGTATAAAAATGTAATTTTAATTCAATTTAAAAATAATTATTTGTTGTTAACTTTTAATAACATACACAGCATTCACTATTAAATATTACAGTTATTTGAATTTATTTAAATGTTTTGACATCTTTCGAATCAAATAAGATTTCAATTAAAAAAGACTAGAATTATATAAATATTGATTTAAGGCGAAACAGTTTTTGTTATCCAGAAGATTATGTAGCTACTCAAGAAAATTGATTTCAAACGAAATATCTGCAAATGCAATGAATTAGCGTATTTTATTTGCCGTATTTCTTTTATTTGGATATTATTATCAGTGTTTTGAATCATTTATTTCCTTATGGACTTTGAATAGTGGCCAGGTGAATCGATTACAAATTGTTTGTGTAAATTCGGTATAGCAGATATAGTAGAGTATAAATTTGATAAACCACACGTATCAGACTCAGTCTGTCCATCAATCATGACAAAGTTAACGCTCCTCTGTATCTCTCTCGCTGTGATTCACGTTCAAGCCGTTAGTAACGATTGGTGGAAGGACGCGATTATCTACCAAATTTATCCTCGAAGTTTCAAGGACAGCAATGGCGATGGTATTGGTGATCTTAAGGGAATAACGAGTAAATTGGAACACGTAAGAGACATTGGTGCTGATGCACTTTGGCTCTCGCCTATTTATACAAGCCCGCAGGAGGATTTTGGTTATGATGTTGCCAATTTCACTGACGTTGATCCAGTGTATGGTACACTTGATGATTTCGACAAACTCACAGCTAAAGCAAAATCATTGGGATTGAAGGTGATTCTTGATTTTGTACCGAATCATAGTTCGAATGAACATCCATGGTTCAAGATGAGTATAAAGAGGATGAAACCCTACGATGAATTTTACGTTTGGCGTGATGCCAAAATTGTCAATGGCGTCAGAAAGCCACCGAACAATTGGCTGAGTGCATTCGGTGGCTCTGCTTGGGAATGGAATGATCAACGTGGTCAATATTATCTTCATCAATTTGCTATTGGTCAACCTGATTTAAATTATCGCAACACAGACGTGTACCTTACTATGTCGGATGTATTAACATTTTGGATGAATCGAGGAGCTGATGGATTTCGCATTGATGCTGTAAATCACATGTTCGAAGATGCGAGAATGTTGGATGAACCTAGAAATAACAATAACGTTCCAATTGATGATTACGATTCACTTGATCATATTTATACTAAGGATCAACGTGAGACGTACGAGGTGATTAAGGCCTGGAGAAATATGATGAATCAATATGCACATGAACATGATACTGATGCTAAATTTATTGTCACTGAAGCCTATACAAATTTAGATGAGATAAAGAGATACTTTCAAGCGGGTGCCAATCCGTTTAATTTTGCCTTTATTTCATCATTAAACAAAAACTCAGTGGCAAAAGACTTTAAACGTGAAATTAAATTGTGGTTGAAGAATATTCCAAATTATAAAGACGCTAATTGGGTGACGGGTAATCACGACAATCATCGAGTGGCGTCAAGATTTGGTGCAAAAAAATCAGATATGGTTATTATGTTGAGTATGATTCTTCCTGGATTTTGTGTTGTTTATAATGGAGATGAAATTGGAATGGTTAATAAATTTTTAACATGGGAAGAGACGCGTGATATTTCTGGATGTAATGCTGGTCCAGACAGGTACTTTATAAAATCAAGAGATCCAGAGAGGACACCATTTCAGTGGGATAGCAGTACAAGTGCTGGATTTTCAACAGCTGAGAAAACATGGTTACCGGTTCATGAAAATTATAAGAGTCTAAATTTACAAGTAGAAAAATTGGCGTCTGTTTCTAATTATAAATTCTTCAAAACATTGACCTCTTTGAGGAAGAATTTCCCAGTTATTAAAAATGGAGATATTGATATGAAATTGATAAGCGATCATGTGTTGGTGGTGTTACGAAGTTTGGAAGGATTGTCGTCTGTTGTTCTTGTGATAAACACAGCAGAAACGGAAGTGGTTGTCGATGTCAACATCTGGTTGAACATTCCTAAGCAAATGGTTGTGTACTCTTCGAACGTTGATTCGAAAATCAATATCGGTAGTTTTGTCGACACTAGTTCTGTGAAATTACCCGCATCTGGGTCAGTGGTCTTGGTACCTGAATTATAGACCTAAACACATTCTATATTGCATGTTTATAAATCGATAAGTCATTTCTAAGTCTTTCAATAGTAAAATAAATTTATAATACTCAAATTATTTATTGTTTATTAATTATTATTATTGTTGTTGTGATTAATGTCACAAAGTTTTTTAAATTGTCTCTCGTTTTTAAATTACTAAATTATTGGAAATAAATGATTCTCAACAGAGTTATTCATTTATCTCATTTGACCAATTTAATTACCTTGAATAAAATTTCTTTCACTGTCGATTCCGTGGTGATAAAATTAAAAGCATTTTTAATAATTCTATCTACTTATTTTCATATTTATTTTTCAATTTCTCATTATAATTTTTTATTTGAAAATATGTTATAAAAATGAGACAGAGAATTCAAATAATGTAAATTTCTTCGTGCTTTTAATAAGTTTGTAATTAATTTAATGTCATTACACGTCGGCAGCAATACTTCACAGACTTTGATAATGAGCAAGACACTAAAGATTTTGGTAAGGTGGAAAAATTTTTAAGTTCGTTATGAGAGTCCACGCTTATGCTGAAGGCGTTGAAAACTTTTTTTTTTATTCTAAGACAAAGAGTAAAAAATTTGTTACAGGCGACTTGGACATGTAATTATGTAAGCCACGGCCACGATAGCAATTATGAAAAAGGAGGGTGTGCTTATGAACACCATAAGCACGCAAAATGTAACGGTAGTGGATGTTTACCACTTTAGTCTTATGTATTTTTTTACTATCAAGTTTTATCAAGACTTAGGGGGGTGGGAGTTATGTTGAGCTATTATCAGTTAACAAAAAAGGTGTATTAAAAAATAATAATTTTTCTACGTAATAGTCGAATATAATAGTGGAAAAAATTTTAACAATTAAAACATCTAGTTTTTAACAGGAAAAAATAACATTATTTTTATCGAAAAAAGTTTTTAATTAAAATAAACTAAAAAAATAGTGATTTTACTCTTTTATGAATTTAAAAAAAAATTAAAAGCCAGTTTCAATACCAAATACAATCCTTTGTCAGGAAAAAACATGGAAAAAATTTTTAAATTAACAATTTTTTTTTGAATTTTTCATGTAGTTGAAAAAAGTATTAGCCCAGTAATTAACTATACCTCCCTGGTGGTATGTTTACATTAATTTGGTCTCGCATTCGGTTATACAAATAATGGGCGCGGTCACCTTGAATTGCAGGTCATAATTAGTAAGATTGAAAATACAGAGGCAAAATAGATTCAAAGTTTATCAGTTATATTTCGGGATTCGAAGTATTTAAACGTGCGTGCATTTAAATTAACGTGATTATATATGTATTGATTTCGAAATTTCACGCGTTTTTTTAAATTACAGTAATATTTGAGATTGTCAATTTTCTATTTCTTTTTTAGTTTTTAAAGTAAATTCGGGAGTGTTCGAATTTCTTAAAATCGCGATCGTTTAATAAATTATATATTTTTTTTATTTTTCTTTCTACTTTTTTAATTGTGTTTGTGTCTAAAAGACAATGTTCGAAAATTACTTTGCTCAGAAGATTAGTGAAATGTTTGTCTTTAACAATTGTTAAAGGAAGTAAAATATCTCACTTTTTTCGGTTTATTAATTTAAATAACTTTGAATTAATATAAAAATAAAAATCTTGGTTATTTTTAGTTTTAATATTCAGTTCAAATGTCAGTTGTACGTGAACAGCTTGTCGCTTCTGTACAAAATTTAGCCCGAAGTAGTTTGAGAAGTTGACAGCTAGGACGTTATCGAATTAATTGTAACATCATTCATGAAAATTTACAATATTATCATGAAAGTTATCTCACATGTATATATGCCATTCTATTTATATTGTGATGATTTACCCGTAATTTCGCTATGAAATTCATTTTATAATTAATTGACTCACATTCTATTTACTTTTATGGAATATTTCTAATTTGAAATTTCAAAAATATTCTTCTATTAAAAAAAAAAAAAATGTTGAATATTTTGTTATATCGTTACATCACAACTTAATAATTTGTATATTGTTAACTATATAATATTCCACATTTTTTTTAATATAATAGAATATTTTGGAAGTTCCGATGGAATGTTCCTGGAATGTGAAATAGAATATACTGTCATGGTATGTACTCGGTTAACTGAATTGCGGATATAAAACTTAATTCTTGACCAGTGGCCGCAAAATTCCTCTGCACTTTTATTGATCGTCATTAAAAGAAACTCTGAGGAGGTATTTTTGTTGCTATATATATTAAGCGAGTATAAGAAATAGGTGGTTTTTATGTGTAATTAAATGTAAGTAAAATAAAAAAACAATTTTTTTATTTTTCTTATATTTTAAAATATATGAAATAATCACAGTAAACTATTAAGTATTAAATAGCGTTCTAGATTAAATTAATAATTTGGTAAAATTTTGGATTATTTTAATCTTCGATGGATAAAAGCGTTGGATTTTATTTTAATCCATTTTGTTATTAAAATTATACCCCACTATTTACTTTTTTTTGGTGTAAACAAACATTTTTTCTTTGAAAATTCAAAATGAAGAATCCTTCCCGTCAGATTCTTAAAAAAAAAATGATGAAACAATTAACTTTTGTGTAAAAGTCAAGTTTGACCGTATAAAGTTGATGATGAAAGAGATACGAACAAAGTTTATCATTTGTTTTTCCTGGCAGCTGAAAGTAGATCGAGCGAGGACTGACTAAAAGTTGCTTTTCGAAAGTAACAGAGTGTCGTTGTCGTCGTCGTCGTCGGAAAAGCTGTGAGAATCAAGTGAGAGAAGATAGCGAGGGAATGGTGTGCGAGTTGATGGACGATGTGCACATCTCCAGTCAGCAGGAGAATCGAAGTTGCTCGTGGGTGCTGCTTGAGAGAAAACAGAAGTCAGGGTAAAGTGACTTTATGCTTTTGGCGCTGATGCCATTGAAGAATGCGCGCAAGCCCCTCTCTATAGGCGAATCTAGGGCAGACAATGTAGTTCAATCATGTCACAACGAGAAAGAGTGGTGAATGTTAGATAAAGGTGAAGCTCACTGGCAAAATTTCTTCCCCAGCTCGTTCTATATGCCAGACGAGTAGTACGATGCACCGGTGCGCACCAATCACGTTGAGTGCATATTCTTCAAGTACTCACAGTGTGCAGACATGGAACGGACACCACTCTTATATATATCCCCGAACGAAGAAAAGAGAGAGAGAAGAATCAGCGAAGCTAGCCCGTTGCATATTCAATTTTTCACTCTTTCCCCCTCCATTCCATTGCACTGAGGAAAAGAGGATAGAAAACTATCCAAGAAAAAAAGGAGAGACTGGCAGTCTCGTCTTATTTGCCGCGAGATAATTCCTCGCGTCTTAATTAACTCACCGCCTCTCTAACCAGGTATACGTCACGTATCCCCTCTTTCTACCTCCTCCTCGTCTTCTTCAACTTCTTCTTCTTCTTCTTAGACGGTATATTTCTTCTTCAACAAGAACTTGGACATTTGTTGTAACCCTTTACATTTTACTATCGCAACTGTAATTATATACGTGTTCTTAACTTCTCGCACTTACGTTTTATGTTTTCTTTCACACACTTATGCACGCAGAGCGGACAAATGTTTCCGCGAAATACATGCCTCGAGAGTTTCAAACTTTAGATTGTGTCACTAAAGCTGAGCATACACAGTGTGTTGACGACAATGTGGGTTCAACATAAAAAAAACCCCACTGAATTTTTTATGAAAACTTTTCAAATACGTGAGTTTAGTGACAAAAAAAACTGTTGAAGAAAATCATTTTCGCTTCTTAAAAATCTTTCATTTTATTATACCACAAGTAAAAAAGTTGCTGAAATTAATTTTTTTTGAAAATAAGGGAAACACATTTCTATTGGGAAATTGAAATTTCGTTTCGAATCTTGATTTACGGTTCATGTGTGTAGTTGAAATGTGAAATTATTGCCGTACTTTTTGAGTCTGTTTTCGATGATCGTACTCTTTTATAGGCGTTGTATTTTTTTTCATTTTACATTCTCTGCTCGCCCTTTTTTCGTTTGCAGTTTTATATTGACATTTATGATATCCATTTCCGGAGCAAATTCAATGTTATTGATGTATATATTGTAGTATCTAGTTATAACGCTGGGGAAAATGTTTCTGAGAATCTTTATGGGATCTCTTCTAGAAACTCGCTCTCTTTCTCGCAGATCCATGAAACAGAACGACAGGAAGAATGTAGGTAAAAGAGATTTGACTTTTCCCCGAGTATTATCAAAGGAAACATTCTAGAAACATCGTACCGAGAGTCACTCACTCTTGAAATTACCTTTAGTACTTGCACTTTTCCTGCTGATTTCTATCTTAACGGAAATCATGCGCTCTTAGTACTTGCAATCGCTGAAACTCATACAAAACGATCAAAGCTTTTCTAGATTAAAAGTGTTAACGCGAACGATCAATCAGTACCCGTAACTTTGCTTAATTGAAATAAATTTTACTCTTTTTGCACATCTTAATTAAGAAAGTGCATCGAAACGAGGACACTATATATACAAAAATAAAACGACTAGAGAAAATCAATTAACTTTTATTTTAAAGTTCTAGAAACTTATTCCCGAGGGAAAAATATCAGTGGAGAAAGCTTTCAATAGTCAAACAATAAAATGTTTTTTATTTAATTTTTTCTAACGAATCCTCATGGGAATGTAACAAATGTTTGGTCAGTCTGATTTCAACTTTTACTACTGATACTGAAATTGCAAGATTTTTAAATTATTTCTGTATTTTACTACTTAAACCAAGTTTTACCCTTTTTGTTTGACTAACAAAATACTAAAATTAATTCATTACAATCGAAAAAAATAGTTTGGATTTTGTTGATTGTAAATGTGACAGTTTTCTCACTCGCTGAGCTTTAAAAGGAGCCTCAAATAAAATTGGATTGACCAGAAAGTATAATTTATCTTTGAGTATAAAATCCAATTTAGTTTGCTTTGTATGAAAAAAAATTGCTTGAAAAAAATTGAAAAAATTGTTTTCTCTACAATTTATGTGCATAAATTGTAAAAAAAAGGTCGCCTATTTTTTATATAGCAATATATTATCGAAAAAATATATATTATATAAAGAATACTTAGTCCTATTGCAAAATAGGTTAATAATGTAACAAAGCAAAGTATTAAATAATTTATTGAAGGCTCGGTACAAAGCTTT